GAAAGTCTTTGCAGGCTTTTACTGTTGTGTTGGGCCAAATAGCTTTCAAGCATCTTTTGTGTTTGTCTCTTTTTATACATTAGCATAATGTACTTTAACATTGTTTACTTACTCAAAACGTAGCTAATTGAAAGCATATATATATATATCCTTTTTTTTTTTTTTTGAGACAGTCTCACTTTTTCACCCTCAATAGAGTGCACTGGCATCATAGCTCACAGCAACTCTTGGGCTCAAGAAATTCTCTTGCCTCTGGCTCCCAAGCAGCTGGGACTACAGGTGCCCACCATAACGCCTGGCTGTTTTTAGAGATGGGGGTCTCACTCTGGCTCGACCTGGTCTTGAACCTGTGAGCTCAGGCAGTCCACCTGTCTCAGCTTCCCAGAGGGCTAGGATTACAGGCATGAGCCACCACACCTGGCTACAAAGCATATTTTTAGGAAACAGAGATTTATTGATACATTAAAAGTTGGTATGTCCTATGGCCACCTGGTTATAACTTTATGATTTGATGATGAAAGAGCAGTGGATAGTTTATTTGAGTTATTCCAAATCAAGGCAGCTGTTTGTGCTTCTTCTTAGATATAAGTAATATAATATTTAATATTTTTTCAGAAAAAAGTATCTTGTTGATATCTAAATAAAATACTAGATTTGGGCAAAATATATGATATGAGTAGAGTGTTGTGGTTATAGGCATGGACTTTGGAATCAAGCCTGGAATCACATTCTAACTGTTCCATTTTCTGGTTGCGGGAATTTGGGCAGAGATTTAATCTCTGAATCTCATTTCCTGATCTGTAAAATGAGGATGGCAACATGCACAAGACTATGAAAGCTTTAATGTTAACTGAGGCCAGATAGGTGTATGTCCTAGTCAGGAACCTCTTGAAGATGGAGCATGAACTAAGGATGATGGTGCTGATGCTGTATTTGGAGGGTTTAAGATCCACCCAATGAGGGTGAGGAAAGGGGGGAAGTGTCCTAGACGAAACAGAACCATGAGGCAGTGATGTGGTGCATGAGTCTTACTGGGGACCACTTTTGGTAATAACATCTCTGAGGAATGGCAGAAAGGAGGGCAAGGGAAAAGTTGAACTTCATAGAGGTTTCAGCCAATCTTAATAAGCTCTGGGGGTGGGATGGCCTTTAAAATGATCCCAAACTGAGACAAAGGCTCTTAGCCAATGTACTCCCACAATTTCCAGTCACTGGATGCAAGTTCAGGGGGAAGGTGGCAAAACCTGGGCAGCTGACCTTTCCCAATGAGATATATATAGTTGTGAGCAGAAGCATGTAACACTGCTAGGACCTGGAGCACTGGGTGCCATGGGCCTATACGGGGAAGAATGACAGATGATGAGCTCCTGCAGCCCTGGCCCCTGCCTCACAGAGCGGCCCATGGTGATGCAACGTAGGGCAGTAGACATGCTTGTTGTCTTTAGCCACATAACTTTGTTCCAGGTTTGCAAGGAGAGACTACTCCTCGGAGCAGTATCTGTATGACAGAGGAAAGGAGAAATTTATTTACATGGCTCTCTTCTGTCTCCCACTTCCAAAGTTTACCCCACGCCCCATACCTTTTAGGAAGCCAGATTCCATGCTCTGCATTGCAGAATTCTATCCACAAAGTGGACCCACCAGGAGAGAGAAGGGAGGAGACCATCAAGAGAATTAGAGAAAACCTAAAAGATCCAGTTGAGTAGATAAAGCAAGTAGCCTAGTACCTGGCTCAGAGCAAGCATTCACTAAGTAGCTAACATCGACGTAGCACCTGTTTATGTGTCAGCCACGACTCTGAGTACTTTACATCAATCAAATTATTTGATCCTCACAGTAGCTTGACGAGGAAAGTACTAATATTAACATAGTTACCTTTTACAGAGGATGACATTGAAGTTCAAAGATGAAACAGCTAACAAGGAGCACAGCAGAGCTTTTATAACCAACTGTTACTTGAGGCTCTAGGCTGTTAACCACCCTACTATATTGCCTCCCAGTGGCTATTGTTATTGTTATTATTGCTATCATTATTAGATTGAAACGGGTGACTATCTCATCACTGTATGTATCATTAGCAAAATATATTCAAATATGTAAAACTTTGCACACATTTTAATAATGTTCATTTTTGTTTTAAAACTAATATAACAAAGTGTTTTATAGATAATGAAAATGATGCAGAAAGTCTTAAGACTTATCCAAGTTTATTTACGTGGCGGAAAGCAAGGTAGAAAGATAAAAGAAAATATACATGGCTAATTCAATAAAAAATAACTTCTGCATAATATTTCTTGGACTTAGAAAATCTGCAGATCTGGGGATTCGGATTTCATCTCTGCCATTAAATTATTTTCAGAATAGGTCGTTTAATCTGTTTATGTGTTTCCATCTTTGTAAAATTGGGTACTGCTAAGAGCCATATCACATATACCACAAGATTCTTTCCTCTGAGGATAGAAATGAGAAAATGCATTTGTCATTAAAAAACATATTAAAAATACCCCATTTAAGTGTTTTAAACACACTGAATTTTAAAAATCTTTAGATTAAAACAATAGGCAATTTTTACAATTTTATAGGGAATCTTATTTAGAATGGTTTCCATACTTTTTGATTTTAGTAGAATAGTAATTTTTATTGCAAACTTCACAATGAGCTGTATGATCCCTATCAATGTAAGGAAAACTTATACATCAAGAGGGAAGAATTTATTCAGCTCTTCCTACTTCGTCATTTAACAAGGAACATTTGACGTGAACATAACTGTGTTGTCCAATACATCTGCACATTCTCAGGTATTATATTATCAATTAAGAACTTAAGAATTGATTTTTTTTTCAATAATTGTGTGAATTGATTAAATTAATTCTGTTTGTGTTTTGAGATTACCCCAGATAGTTGCCCTGGTTTTTCCTGCGTCTTTCCTTTATATACTGGAAGCTAACATTTTTTCCCCCATATCTCCCAGTTTTCTCCATCCTTGCAATATCCCCTAAACACGCAGTGTTTTTATTTTACATTTCCATATACTAAAGAGGGACTGTTTTTACTTCGCCTTTTTCTTTTGTACCTGAGCTCTGTGTACTTCTTTGTACTTTACTTTTCATATATATTTTCAATGACATTAGACATTTCTTCTCACGTAAGATCTCTTCACATGCATTAAATCATTTCTAGAGCACAAACTTCTTTACAGATGTATTTCTTTATTTTTATATTTGCTTAGAAAATTACTTCACTTATCTTTACAGTAATAAAAAATTAGATACCTGCATTTCTCAGTAAATATCTGTATAGCAGAAGTTCTCTGGTTATTTTAAATTATCTTAGAGGTTTATAAGAAGAATTATAGAAGAAATATGCGTTTTTTCCCATAAAATCAAAAGTAAATGTTAAAATTCATAATGTATTCACTTTATATGTAATATGTGATTTTTTTCTGGTAAAAATTCTCAAATATTCATATGCGACCGCCTTGAAATGTGTACCTTAAGGACAAAGAAAGGTCACCAATCCCTCTAACTCCTGGTTCTTTGTCAAAAATGGACACAGTTAATGAGGTTTGTTTGGTACAGAACAAATTCTCAGACACAGATAGAGATCCTTTCAATGGAAACAAATTTGTTTGGCTTTACCAGGTTACTTAGCGATTAATAATAGCCTTGAGGTGCAGGTCAGAGAGGTCATTGGACCAGCTTGCCAGCACAATCTAAATGTGCAGCCCGTCCGGCTCCGGGGGCGTGGAAGCCCCCCAAATACCGTGCATAAAGTAAAACAGGCTATTTTCTGACTCCTTTTTTCATATTAATAAGCAATTTTCAAGAGAAGGGTGGCAAAATGGGGGCCATGCCACTCCAAGTAATTCATTTATTTTGCAATTTAATCTTAGGTTGAAAAAAATTGCTCTGCTGCAGTAGCATTGCTTGGTGATTTTTAAACGTCAGTGTGTTCCAGAAGTAACCTTGCATGGAGTATTGTATTAGTAGCCTTTAACAGAAAACTGCAACAAAATTATTTCTAGGCAGTGAAGTAGACAGGAGCATCTTTTTTAGTTTTGGAATTTTTGTCTTCTATTTTTCTGTGCTGTCTTTGAGGAAAATGCTCAGATGATTTACTTAGAATTTTACTTATAAAACCTGATGTTAGTGGCATCTCTACTTTTAAAAGCGAAGTATGGTACAATTACAAAGCATTACGTGAACAGGAATATTTACATTTGTCCTCAGAAAATAAAGGATTTAGTGATTTTTGCCATGGGTGCTAACATCTTGTTCTGTTTAGTAGCTGTTTTCACATAGTAATATTTTTGTTTAAATTTCTTTTATAAATGCTCAAAAGTTTCATTATTTTAATGGAGTTTATTATCCTCAGAAAATACTTGAACTTACTTAATTTAACTTTTATTCTCATTATCTATATATTTAAAATAAAAGGCCAACCTTTCAAGTGCAGGATAACATACATAACCTTACCTATGTGACTTGAACTGTTAACTAGAGTCCAAAATAAATTGAGCACGCGAATAAAACCTGTCACACTTTTAAAATGACTCCATTAGTTAGTATGAAAAATAAATGATTAGAGATCTGTAAATACAAAACCAAAAGTAAAGGAAATCAGTGGCTCGGACGCTTTCCTGTTATGAAACCATATGCAAAACATTTAATCTTCAGGCAAAGAAACTGTTAATGTATTATAGTGTCACTTTGCGTTTTGTACGAGTATTTCCTTAGCTTTGAAGTAATTATAATACGAGGCATTTGATTTTAAAAACTTAATCCCAGAAAAATCATTCAAATGCTTTCTAAAGATTGCTAAGATTCATGTAGGAAATGCAGTTAAGATAGATTACACCACTGATTTTGATGGATGTGGATGATGGCTGCCCCTTGAACAATTTACTTATAACCAGTGAATGAATTAAAATGTTAACAAACAGTATCCCAAATAACTGTGGACGGCTTTGATGCAGGGAGGCGCTGGAGGAGTTTGCAGAAATGAAAGAAAGAGAAGAGAAAAAGGCTAAGCTGGAGAGGGAAGAGAAGAAAAGAGATCACCAAGCTCGAAAGATGCATTACCTCCTCAGCACAAAGCAGGTGGGTCTGCCTGTCCCTGACAGCCCCTGGAAGCCACTTGGGCCTCTAGCGTGACAGAGATAAACTAGCAGGCTGAATGGGACATGACTTGTTGAAAAGATATCACAAAGACACCACTTCGAGTTCAATTTTGTGTGTCTGTGTAGGTGCACGCAGGCACCATGACTTGTCTGTGACAGCAGCTTCAGAGAGGCAGTGCTCAGAGGGTGGCAGAAAGGGCCAAGTCAGCAGTGTGATCTGACACAGCGATAACACAACTCGAAGGGCACAACCTCACTTTCAAAACTCATTCTCGGTGCTTTATTGTTGTGTTGTGAATTGATCACGAACTAACAGTGTTATTAAGCCGAGCAGCGGCTTTGGTGTTTTCTCTTTTAATTGGGCTAATGTTGGGATGGAAACTATTCTTCCACCCTTTCTGTATTTTGATGGAAGTTTTCAGGTAAAGCTTTTAACAGAATTGCTTCAGCACTTACATCTTCCTATAGAAATAGAAATGTGCAATTTGGGATACTTGGAAATTTATTTTCGTATACTTGCTAAAATTTCAATACCTCAGATTTTGGCCTGGTTACTAAGAAAGAAGGCCTGTAAAGGACAGTGTGCAGCTCAAAAGGACATGTGGTTCAAAAAATCATGAGTTTGAAGGTTGAAATGTATTTTGTTACTTGAGCACTACTCTAGAAATTAGCAGTTTCTGGATTTTACTTTGTTCTCATAGACTTTCAAGTCCAATGTCATAGTTCTGACTAGATCACATATTCATACGTGTCCAAGAATGGCCAAGTCAAGTCCCGGTGGTGAAGGGTGAGGCCCAAGGCTGAATGTCATCCTTAGAGACATCCCGTTTCAAAAACACGTTAAGTCCTGGGCTGGCCATGTCCACTGTCCATTTGGAACCTAAGTCTTTCTGTACCTCCAGCCTCTACTTGATTGTCTAAATTCCAATACTTTTTGATAATGATGACTATCTTTATATTTACCTGAATTTGCACGACTGGGTTATCTTTATTTAACAGGTAAAGAAACAAACTCAGAGCTATTATATACTGATTTACAAACAAATAGATCTCAATCTAATAGCGATCTAAAGAAATAGATCTCAATATTTGAAGTATTCTGAACACTTAGGCAGTCATTCAAAGATGATTTTTAAAATAGTCAAAATATGATAACTTTTATTATAAAATCCAGAAAAGTGTGAAAATTCTAGTGCTATGACTGGATGTGCTACATTTTTCTATATAGAATTTCAAATCAAGAATTCCTTTTAGTGAAATGTTTTTTCATCTTTAGCTATCAGTAATTTTAATTTTGATTGAACTAAGGGTGCTAATAATACCCTTAATTCTTTAAATCTGATAATATTGAATTTCTTAGGATACAATTGTTAATTCTGATAATTCTGAATCCTCTTTATGTTTCAAATCTTTCTAAACTTGAGTTCTAATTGTGCTATTTATAGTTATAATGGGCAGTGTAGTAGGAAAGCAATTTTTTTAAATGGTGAAATTAGATTTACCTGAAACATTTGTTAATTCTGTTTTATCCATGGGTATTGAGATATTGAGTATTAGTGGAATGATCTAGAAAGTCCATAAAGACTTGGCTGTTTTACTAATAAAAGTAATATAATAGCAAATATCCGTGGAGTGCTTACCATGTGTCAAGATAGTATGATAGAGATTTTACATGCATTATTTCTTTAACTATTTTGATGTCATTTCAGTTTTTAAGTTAATCATCTTGTTTGAAAAATAATTTCACAAATCTGACCAAGAGACTTGATTCTTTGACCTTAGTGAATTTTCAAATATTACCATTGTGATCAATACTCTATTCTATTTTTCTCCTTCTTTTCTGCCATGTAGGCTGCTAATACTATCAATGTAGGCCAATTTTTGTTTAGTGATCCTCAGTCTCCCTGGAATCCAGTAAAATGATTGTTTTTGAGGGAGTATGGTACAATGAAAAATGCCTGGCCATTGTCATCAGAGCTGAGTCGGCATCCCAGTTCTCCCATTTAGGGCAAGATATTGGGAGATAACCCAATATCTGGAGTTTTCTACGTTTTTCACTCTGTACGTGTGTGATAAGAAGCCCACCTTGAAAGAACATATGAGGATTTAACGTAATATATGTAATAGAATGCCAGGCCTGAGAGGGTTGGCGTTACAGGAAACACGCGTTAGAATTTAACCCGTCAAGGATAAACTAAGGTTCTGTACTTCTATTTGTCTTACCAATTGGAAGCATTAATTTTCTCACTTCTTTTCTTTGCTTTCCTTTTCGTTATTAGTGAAAATCAGCTATACTTGTGCCCCACCCAGTTTTCCACCTGGCTTCACAGAACCAAGGGCAATAAAGATGAAATTATGTTCTCAAATCACTTCCTTTGGAGGCGATTATTATGAAAATGTCAGGGATTTTAATTTGGATCTGGCAAAATGGTATACTTTGTCACAGAGATCTAAATATTTGATCATAGGTTAACTAGAGATGAAAAGACAACCCTTTGAACCTATGGGGACACATTTGTTCCCAAGGCAAACTCTTTTTTTGGGTGATAAAATAGAATAGTGGTGCCCTCTTGGTGTCGTGTATTCATTTTCTTCAAAGGATTAGTTACACTGACAAGATGGCACTAGAATGTTCTTCTGTTTGATTCTTTATATCCCACTATGTTTGCTTTATTTAGCTTTAAATCAGTACTTTGCATCATATTATGAAAAAGTTTGAATTTTAGAGTGGATACTATAAGTCACAATTGTAAACTACCCCCATCTAAACAAAACTTTTCAGTAAAGATTTAATAAATAGAGTGAATATAAAATTTGACTTAAATTTATCCCAAATAAAATAAATATTACTGGTAGGTTATTACTCCCAATAATATTTTTCAGTGCCTACCATCTATTGGTACTGTACTAGTATTTTAGTATATATAAATAATTATTATATGATCCTTAACTACAAGGAGAGCTCTGCCTAATTTCAGTCTAATGCCAATTTGGTTTAGTAGAAGGAAATTGCTGACTTTCACTACAGCTTATGTGAGTGGTCTCATGCATGATGACAACTGTTTGTACTTATCATTTTGTTGATACAATTGACATTTTGTTTTATTTTCATCAAATCTTTAAACACTTTCCCTAACCCAAGGAAGACGTGAGGACTGAGAGACACTTCAGTATAGTAATTTCTTCATCATGACTTGGCTACTGGGGAGAAATTAAGCTATCGATTTTAAAATAGTCCTTAGCTGTTTACACCTTAATTTCATTGCTTATTTTAAGAGTTTTGATTTCAAATTATATTAGACATTTAATTACAAAATAAAAGCTAACTAAGAATTGAGTAATTATTTTAAAAGATTTATATCAGCTTTAACTTTCACTTCCTGTAGATACTTGAAAAATCATAAAATAAATACTCGAGTGTAAATAATCTTTATATGAAGTATATTAGGATAAGAAAATTTCTACTGACCTGCTTAAAATGAATAAATCTGAAAGCTGGATTACCAAAGACATAAACACCATTTTATTGGAAATTTTAATGATTTAGGAATGAGATAATTAATATGGTTTGTAAAATAGTAATTTTTCCATTAAATTTGTATAGTTCTAATAGCTTAACTAAGAAAAGTAGAAATTAAACATTTATTCATATAAATAATGCTTTAAAAAGGTGAAGAATTTTATATGCCAAAATTGTATTTGTGAATTCAGATATATAATTGAAGTAGTGTATTTTTAGTGGTTTAATAATTTTAGAATGATTATGTTAATATACTGCTGATAGTAAAGTTTTAAAGTCAGTTTTAAACCTACTTCTTGTACAAATTCAATATATATCTTAAAATAGATCCGAAAACAATTACTAATTTTTAATGGTATTAATTATCTCATCTTTATTCAAGCAAATAAGTTAGTGCAAATAGGAATTATACAAGTAAATAACTAATATTGCAATGAGTGAATTAATAAACCCCTCAGGGTTTTATTAATTAAAAAGTTCAAGTCATATTAAAGCACCTTTTGTATATGTTTATTTCAATCAGAAAGCTGAACATGGTAACTTATTTGCATAAATAATCAATCACCATTTACTAGTAGTAATAAGGTTAATTTGTTGCTACAGACATAATAGGATTAGTCAATTATATTTCCCAGAAAATACTATTTGTTATGCACCCCATCACCTGTAAAACAGGATTGGGTTTAGCACACTTATTAAATGAACACATCAAAAAATCTTTGTCTCTGTAAAAGTTTTATGAAAGGAAAGCTAATTTTGGTTGATTTGAATAAAGTAAAATACAAACATGGCTTCCATTTGTAAATTTATCATTCTGAAAAGATTGATGATTTAATAAAGTTATTTATTTTGATTCAGTAACCAGTCAAACTAAATCTAACACATATAGGACATATTTCCTTTGAAGAAAATTTCATTTGCAGATTTGTTTTATTCTAGATAAACTGACTTTCATTCCCTTGCCCTTGCTCTTGGGTAATAAATTATGTTGTCTGCTCCACCTACTGGTAGATACACGCAAAGGCCTATTGTTGGATTCCTTAAAAGAAACTGCCTGGAGAATGTTGGCAGGGTGTTTAAGGGTCTTCCTGGAGTTCAGAAAAGTTACAGATACATATGTAAAATCTAGGATCCAAATGATAAAAATTGTTTGTAGATATTGGTCACTGTATACAATTGTACATGGTAACAATTACCTTTATAGTGAAATTCTTACCATTTTCATTTTAGCATAAGAATAAATACAAAATATACATAGAACTCTACATAAGTATGTATATTTCATTTTTATAATGCCATTTAATAGTCTATACATATTCAAATAAAATTAAATAGAAAATTGTGTTTTTATTTAAAATCATTTTACCTGTGTAATGGAAATAATTTTCATGCCATTATTTGTATAATAGGTTTTGATGTTTTTTCCTTTAATGAATAATGAACATTTTCATGTGAACAAT